TAAGATCTAATTCTTATCTCTTTTTTAGCTTTGAGTATTAAGATGACCCAACCCCCCCTCCCCCAATATAGTATCTGCAGAAAAAACTTTGAGTCAAGCCTGTCTAAAATGAGAAATCTTCTTTAAATATGTCTTAAAATGTGGGCGTTTATATGGGTATATTGACTGTTTCTCCTTTAGAGCACATTCTTGAGACTCCTGTAGAAAGTCCCTTCAGTTTCAAAGTCTTTGCTTATACCATGAAGGGGGTCACTGCCATTTGAAAGCAAAAACCAAAACCAGAATCTCCATGCATTCACAAATAATTGGACAATTTTTCATCTAAGAATCAAGAGAGGAATTCAGTCACACTCATATCTTCATTAGTGGATTAAAGTGACTAAACTTAGCATAGAAAACTTTCCTGAAGGTGATAATACATATTTTGGCAGTTGTTTTACAGAGCTGTTTGTTGCTTCCCTCCCCCTTTTTTATAAATGTCAATCATGTCTACCACCAGCTTTTTTTGTATCTCCTGGATTATAACTCTATCCTGGATTTTGGTGAATATGAAGGCATATAGCAGAAGTCAGATCCCTTCTGGCAAAAATGATCTGCCAAAGTGCAAAAGATTCCAGTCAGCAGGCAGAAAGCAGCTGAATAAAATCTCACGATGCTGAATTAGAAATGATGGGTTACTTTTATCTCTAAAGTCATAACACAGGAACTTTAAGATTAGGTAGGAGATCTTGCTCATAAAACAAATGCGTTACTTGAAATAGTATGAAAATCTTAGCTGTTCTTACAATAGACAGAATACTGTACCATGTTAGCTGTGGAGGTGCTATTTCAGCAACAAAAACTACTTGGGAATGCATTCAACGAAAGTATCTTTGCCATGCTTATTTTGGGTATCAGTCTAACATTTTTATATAAAGTCGGTTTTTTCGTTTGTCTTCACAGCTAGAAGGTCCCTGTGTTCTGCAGATTCAAAAAATTCGCAATGTAGCTGCACCAAAGGACAATGAAGAATCTCAGGTGGCTCCCAGAATGCTGCGCTTGCAGATGACCGATGGACACACAAGCTGCACTGCAATAGAATATACTTACATGTCAAAAATAAGGTAAACAAAACTCATCTGTGCTTTATGGTGACTCTCGTAGCTCTTAACACCTCAGATCTTTCCAATGCTGAAGAGTTATCTTTACCAAACAATTCTTTGTCAGCAAGATCTTTTAAAAGGCAAAGAGTTGGCTCCCAAGTTAAGATGAAATGTTTCTGTATGGAGTACACCGCCAAGCCTAAATTCTTATGAAAATTGACTTATGGGTAACATAATAATTAAAGTTTCTCCTTCAGATTTCTTGGGTAGCTCAGCGAGTGTTTATGGTGCCCATCAGAGTAATAGGCTAGAGTTTGGCCACAGAGGGAAAGCACTTGAACATTGGTAGACCAAATTAATTCAGCTGTCCGTCTGAATGAGCTGGAGTTTATTACTGATGTGCCATCAGTTTTCACTAAAGTCTACCAAAGGGGAAGCCTCATTAATAATATTTAATTTCTCTACTTTTGAACAAAGTAAAAGGGTTTTCACTACCTTTATTCATAAAATGTTTTTAGGAGAAAAAGATAAAATTAGTGAGAATTGCTGCTAGAGGCAAGTTGGTAGTTCTATAGTTTTATTACTGATAAAATTACACTTCATGTTGTTCTCAGATGAGGAATTTCCACAGTTTCCAATTTAATTTCACTGCTGCTACTCCAGCGGTAAGATAATGAAAATACTACAAATGTGTTACACATGTAGATGAAATAGGTGTTTAAAAATGGCTTGCAAGCTTCCAACTCCATTAGGCTTAAAAGAAAAACTAAAATGTTCCTACTCACTGTACAGAAGAACTTGGTGTCTTTTTTTTTTTTTCCTTCATGGTGGGCTACATCAGTGATTGCAGAATAGTTTGAAGGACATGAATTGTCCCAGCATCACTAATGGTAGCAAAAAAACTAACCTTGCCTGCAGAAATTGCTATAATAAAATTGTGTCTATAAAGGTCTAAGTGGTTTAAATTAGGCCTGGGCAAGGGGCAAACAATGTCCAGGTTCCAGTTTTGAGATTAAGTGGGGTCTTAGCCTTGTAGAAATTAAACCTTTTCCAGAAGTGTTGTAATTTTGCCTGAATAGCACCAGTCTCAGACTACCTTCCTACCACACTGTTGAGGCTTCTGTTCCTTATCCTACAACGCACTTATCATTTACCCATCTATGATCACATTCTGCAATAAGAACATGCTTCTGCATGTTGTTGCATGTTATGGGAAATGTTCTTCCTGGTCTCTGGATACTAATCAGAGTCAAGCCTGTCTAGTACTTAGCTGGACAGATTGTCAAAGAGTTCTAGGCTGAAGTCTTGACTGGGAAATCAAAACAAATCGAGAGGAAGGGCCCAACTAGCAAATTGGAAATTTTCCATGTGAGTGACTGAGGCCCATTTGGTGAACATCATGACTGAATAAAAATTAATGCCTTCCTTTAAAGCAAGTAAACAAGACTGCAATAGTTCTCTGATGTTTTCTGGAAGAACATCTTTATATTACCATAGAATGCATACATTACCATCATACCGTCGGAGAAGAAGAGCTGAGGTTTACAGTCATAGAATTCTCAGGAAAAGTAGAAGCTGCATTTCTTTGCTAATGCCTGAATCTCCTTAGTCATAGCTCACAATTCTGGAATACGTTTCTCTCAGTTTTGTTTTTGTTTTTTAAAAAAGGCATGGGTGGGATCTAGAGATGGCAATTTTATTATGAAGTTGCAGGTATCTTCAAGATAAAGTATTCAAAATGTGGCGGTACAGTAAAACTAAAGTAGTTCTTATCTGCTCCTTTCTTCTTACAGCTCATGTAAGATACTATTTTTGTTATTTTATTTATGAACGAATTCTTATAATAATGTGATTTTCGTTCATTGTATTTTCTGCATCCGTTTTTCTTTAATGTTTCTGTTGATTCCACTCATCCCCAACATACAGTCTGGGATTATTTTCCATTTTTATGGAAAAGCAGAGATAGTTTGGTATAATGGTTAAAGGCACTTGACTGGAAACCAGTAGACTGTAAGTTCTAGTCATCCCTTAGGCCCAAAAGCCAGCTGGGTAACTTTGGATCCATCGCTTCTCTCAGCCCTAGGAAGAAGGCAAGGGCAAACCACTTCTGAACATGTTGCCAAGAAAACTGCAAGGACATGTTCACATGGTTGCCAGGAGTTAAGACTATCTTGCTATCTATCTATCTATCTATCTATCTATCTATCTATCTATCTATCTATCTATCTATCTATCTTTCTACTTAATTAGTCTTTTAATATGCTACAAGTCTCTAGTGTTTTGCTACATCAGATAAGCATAATTCTCCTCCCTAATGAAAGTGCCTTAGCTAAAATGCATTCTAATTGTCAAGAAAAAAAAGAAAGAAAAGGAAAAATGAAATACAGATTTTAGCTGCTTTTGTATTTTCTCAAATTCTTTTAAGGAAACCTGATTTTTATTTTCTCATTTTTAAAAACAAAAATCAGGGTCAAGTGAAAAAAAAACCTTAAGTTTATTAATTAGTATCCATAGTATTCAACACTTCTTCGTGTTAAGAGAGGCTTGGTACAGTTCCTGGGGCTTGGAAATTTAATGAACTCCCTTTTGGTTTTTTAAAAAAAAAAATCTTATTTTCTGGAGTCCTGGCTTTATGGAAGGAGGGCCCATGCGGTAATTCCCAGGGTTATACCACGGTCATGGTATCTAATATCTTATTTCAGCTCTACAAAGACACTTGCCTCAGTTTTATGAGCTTCAGTATGCTGTAAGTCTCAGAAAAGCTTGTCTGGCTGACCTTCCTTGTCGGGGTTGAGAAGCTAAGCAGGGTCTAGCAAGGTTAATAGTTGGACTGGAGGCCCCAAGGAATACTGGGATTGGAGGCTAGGCTGGGAAGACATCCTGGAAGAAGGCAGTGGCAAATTACTGTTTGCCTTACTGTTGCCAAGAAAATCATTTAGGAGTTGCGCTTGAACAGAAGGCAATTTTATTTTTATGAAGAATTTTGCCACAATCCTGTATCCTTTGGATTGCAGCTACAAATGGTATTCTTCTGTTTCCATAAATAGGCTTCATTCTTGCCCACGTTACCCTCATCTCAACTTGATCTTTGAAGTTATCGAGAGCTGATTTTCTTAATATTCTGTCTGTCTGATAGGTGCACTTGACTGCTGAAAATGATAGATGCTTTTTAGATGCTGTGGCTTGAAACTGTGTTTTAGGTTTCCCTACTTTGATGGTGAACAATGGATACACTTGATGGAAATTGTACAGTAAGCCATGCTTTCAAAGACTGCTGTCAGAAGCATTACAGAGATGGATTCTGACACTTCTTGGATAAAGTGATGGGCCACATGACTTTTAGCTGTATTGTAAAATACAGGCAAGTTATTTGCTTGCAGAGAGGGCGTTAAAACATTATTTTATCAAATCACATTAACCTTAAAACAATGCAGTATGGGCTCACAGTGCTATAAATAGGCAGTGTTTGAACTAACGCAGAACTTATATAAAATAATTTGTAATGTTGCACTTGAGTTGAATTACAGCAACATAATTTGAATAATGCTGTATTGTTCTGTTAATTTGCCAACAATTGTAGATGTACTCTTCTTTTTGCATGTAGTCTGAACACACCTCCTGGAACAAAAATTAAACTGTTGGGAATCGTGGAAGTGAAAAATGGCTTTCTCCTTCTGGATGACAGTAACACAGTGGTCCTTGGAGGTGAAGTGGAACATCTTATAGAAAAGTGGGAGTTGCAAAGGGTGAGGTAACACGATGCATTTTCCTACCTTAAGCAAAAGGTTAAACTGCAGCTGGTTTGTCCGATATATTCAAGGATGATGGCATTTTGCTTTGTTTTGTTGTAGCAACTTGTCATATTTTATCAGGCCATGAAAATATTTCCATGGAATGGACAATATTTAAATCTGAATAATTTAGGGTCAGGTCAATTTTGTTAGCATTCCGAGGCATCAGATAAAAATGCCTGAACAAATGGGGTAATTTTTGTCTCATTCCTCTCCCTATAAACAACAGAGTCATACCTCCTAAGGATTTTCAAACAGGAAAAAGCCAGTTTGGTCTAGTGGCTAAGGCCCCAAGCTAGAAACCAGGAGATGGTGAGTTCTAGTCCTACCTTAGACATGAAAGCCGGCTGGGCGACTGTGGGCCAGTCCCTTTCTCTCAGCCTAACTCACCTCACAGGGTTGCTGTTGTGGGGAAAATAGGAGGAGGGAGGAGTATTAGGCATGTACGCCACCTTAAAAATAATAAAGGCAAGATAAAAACAATCTAAAAAATGCACACAAATTACCAGCGTATTTTTTTGGTTATGAGTAATTAGAGGAGAAATAATGAGCATGCTTAATTAAATTCTTTATTGGACTTTGTTCTTTTCCTGTTACTGTGAAGGGTGTAGAGCAGTGTTTCTCAAACTTGGCAACTTTAAGACACGTGGACTTCAACTCTGGCTGGCTAGGGAATTCTGGGAGTTAAAGTCCACATGTCTTAAAGTTGCCAAGTTTGAGAAACACTGATGTAGAGGATCGGCTTGATGGACAGAGGGAAGATCCATTACCAAGGCAACAATCATAAAAGTGGCTTGAGCCTGTACTAAGAAAGATATTTATGGAAACACCTCATTCACTTCCTGCCCTTGTAATTCACATGAAGATGAAAGAAGAAGGAGGGGAAGCACATTCAGACTTGCAAGGTTCTGTTACTGTAGCTGTTGTAATAAAAGTAGCTTTAAGTCTGCACAGGGTCTGTTTCTTAGTCTGCTCTACCTTATAGGGCTGACAGTTACACAGCATGAAGCATTGGCTTTGTGAATACTCTTATGAGCTGCCTATTGTAACTGAAAAGTTTAACCAGGGGAAACAGCATGGAACTTGATATAGTATCTGCTTTGGCTCAGTAGAGCAAGTGGATAGGCAAACAAGATTAACTGTTATAGCTGAGTACGGCATGCTCTATATTTGTGTTTTGAAATCAGTGGTGCATAATGGCTAATCCTAAACTGTGAATTAGATAATTGCAAACTAAAATGTTTTTGTTACTTATTGGATGGCCTTGGGCTAGTTATCAGTCTACCCCTGTCAAATCCTCAGTATAGTAATACTACACAGAACATATGAAATGCTTTGAAAGCTCTGAAAGACTTGAATGAATACACACAGTGTTGAATCAGTGAATGAAAAATGCAGAAATGCTATTTATCTTGGAACTGTATTAAACAACATTTGTGCATTAGTCTTGCACGGTTATTTTTCTCCCTGAACTGAGCACCTTGGTGTGTCAGAATAAACCAGATTATGTTGAATTCAGGCAGCCTACCAGATTATGCTCATCAGCAGTGGAAGCAGTTGAGCTAATCAGCAGCAAAAGTTGAGCACTGCATGGGAACCAGAACTTGTTTTGAATCACACAATTATCCAGAAACCAGTGACAAATTCTTGTTTCAGACCCTAGCTTGCCAAGGAAGTAACAAAGTTCAAACCCAAAGATGCACCTTTTCCTATCTGTCTGGTTGTTCCTGCTTGCAGGAGAAGCTAGGTGATAATGCCATGTGCAGAAACATCTTGCTTGTAAACGAAACAAACAAATAAGCAAACAAAGGGGAAGGAAGTTTAATAGATGCACATTGATCTCTGAACTATTGATTTGTAAGCTCGAGTCTTCCCTGATCATTAGAGTGATATTGTGCAAAGTATGAAACAGTTATTCAGCTTTTTGTAGCCTTTCCTTCCCAAATCTTGATTACACCTTTGTTTTTACAGTAAAACTATCTTCATATATATTAACCCTACATATTGACTTAGAGATAAGGACAGTCAGCAGTGCCATTAGCCTCCATTATTGTCATTTTGCTTTCTTAGCAATCTGTGTGTGTGTGTGTGTGTGTGTGTGTGTGTGTGTATCCCTCTGTGTGTGTGTGTTGAGTTATTTCAAGCCTTCCTCTGTTTTTAATGAAAGTGAGGAAGAGACAACAGATTCTGTGTAGAATCTTCAGAGCTTCTGTAGCATTCAAGCAGTGATAAGCTTTCGGGCGATAGCATTCATGACGTGTTGTCAATAATTTATGTGCTTCTATCTGTTTCTTACCACTTTTTCCTCTTACCAGTTAATGAAAACTGCTTAATTTTACAGAGTTTATCAAAACACAACAGAAGCAACATAGGAACAGAAGGTGGACCTCCTCCCTTTCTCCCTTTCGGGCAGGTATGATATGCTTTTGGGGCTTGGACATCTTTATCACCAGCTTGAAACTATGTTGTCTCGCGTCTGAAATATCTCTCTTCACAACTGAAAGATGCAATCTTTCATGAAAAATAGCCTTCCAAATATATATTAAAACAGCTTTTTTCTCCCTAAATGTTAGGTAATTTGAATATTTTTTTTCAGTTGACATTTTAAAAGTATATAATATTTAATGAAATGCCTTGCTGAATAAATACATTTAAGCAGTTGTAGCAGCAGGGCTGAAGTCAGAGGATGGAAGATTGGAAAGCTTTACCCACCCTAGCTCTGCCTCCTGCCTTGTCTACTCAGAAGTTAGGGTTGCTACTATCCAACTTCAGGATCACGTCCTTACCTGGCATCTTTCCCCTCAACCTCACCACATGAGAAAGATAGGGGCCCTGCAGCGGGAAGTAAACAAAAAAGAAATGATCAGATGAACTAAATTCTATTACATACCTCCTCACTTTGGAGTGGTGGGGCATGTGACTAGGGAACACAGACCCCTCTCCCAAACAATTGAGTTAGATCAATATCACAAAGGATAATTAAAATTGGTCCAGCCCGGTTTGTTACTACTTGTTTCTCTCCATCTGCAATCAACTGACTGCATTTTCCCCAAAAGATCAACACCTCTGTCCTTTGGGCAGAGAGGGGTCGAAAGGACTCTCTTTGTGCTACACATTATCCATCCATGCCTCAGTCAGGAAGGTGCCATTTGAAGTAAAGGGCTAGGTGGATTCTTCCATGTGGTGTTAACTTGTAACTCGTTTGAGGCTTTCTTTCTTCTCAGCACCTCAAATTATTTTTTCTATTTGTTACGATTCCAGCTCACAGTTTCTAAGCTGACCTCTCTCATGATAAAATTGATATTCTACCTTTCCTACAGGGATAATATGACCCTAACTCTAACCTTTTGTTATGCCACATGATACTTTCTTATCACCAGTACTAGTTTCTTGTCATGAGCAGGACCTTGTCCTCAGTTCCTTCTCCTTTGATTGCTGAAATCTGCTTTAGCAGATGCCAAGGACAGGTCATAGCTTAGATTAAACTCCCAAGTAAATTATTGTTTGATTTCTTCTATACGAACAAGTGAATGTGTTGTAGGTTTATCTATTGCTTAAATATGCTTTTGCATCACCAGAGGTGTGTATCTCAGCTTCAAGTGGACAGCAAGGAATTGGATCGCCGAAAAACTCTGCAAGTGACAAATGTGGCTAAACCGATGGGTGACAACGATGAATTTGAAAAACAGCGAACAGCTGCTATTGCAGAAGTTGCAAAAAGCAAGGAGGTTAGAATGAATGCCTCTGTATTTTTGTTTTGAAACAATGCATGAATTATCTCTGGATATATCTTAGGGGGGAAACCCATGGAAAGCTGTCTGCTGTGATCCAGCAAGAATAGTTTCTAAAGTACTTAAGATGGTAAGTATGAAGAATTACTGAAGAAAAAAATCGTGGAATATACAGAGTTTTATTGTGTGTATATCCTAATAAATATTATTGGGGTTAAAACAATACATATTTTCTTAAAAATATGCTTTGGTGTAATTTTGTGTTTTGGGAGGAAAATCCTAAGTGAAGGTACTGGCATGTTCAGATAATGTATGCTTAAGGCCAATAGCGCCATCTTTAGTGAAGCATTTTGGGAATGATATTTGGCACTTCATGGTGCGTTCTGGATCATAAATTGCTCTGCTCAAGAATTACATGGCACATCTCTAACTTTCCTTGATAGCCCATCAGTCGTATATATATTCCCTTATACCCAAATAGCATTAATAAATTTGTCACTCTACAGTATCTTAATTGGTTAAGGTGACTTGTGTACAATAGACTGCAGTATTTGAACTGAAGCTTCTTGATTTGTTTGAGCGGAAACGGTTTATTAGATCATACATTCCACATGCTAATTCTATACCGCTGTGCATTTAACTGTTGCAAATCAGGTGGCTTGTCCTGTTTCCCACTCACCTCGCCCAAAATGTTAAACGTTGATGTAATCAGATTGCGCTCCTCGGTCACTTCATAGATAAATGGCAGTGGCATTACTGAAGTATTGTTTTGTTCCGTAAAGACCAAGACTTTTGGAGGAGGTGGTAGTAATACTAGAAGCAACCTCAGTTTGAATGCAGGAGGGAATCGAAGCAGGGAAGTATTCCAGAAAGAGAAGATGAAGCCTGAAGGAAAAAATGAAGGTGTCTATCGTGAACTGGTAAGACACAGATCCCCACAAAAGAAGATCTTCTTCATATAGTGCTTTGTATGAAAATTTCATGGTATTCAATCAGTTATTCAGCTTGTATATAAATCACAACTTAGTTAATTCAGCATCTGATGTTTCCTGCACCTGCCAGAAATACAAGTGAACAAGTGAGCCATGAAGGAGATAAGTTGACTTTCATTCAAGAAATCACTATCTCACATACCAATCTACATCTCACCGATTGAGATAATGCGTGTGCTTCAGTTTTACTGGTAAAATCTATCAAATAAGTACACAGTATTTCTCATTGTGTCTTCAAATGAACACTTAAAAACAAAACAAGGTCTTAACATCTTGTGGCCAGTGGACACCTGTGACATTTTGAGAATTTGGGGGATATGGCTAAAAATATTCATTTGCTAGAAGATGAATGGTGAGATTGCCTTGTTTACTTATGCAGTGAATCTAAGGCAGAGGTGAGAACTGAGTTCTAAAGCACTATGCCCTTATTTAGAACTCTTTCTTTTTTTCTTTTTGCTTCAACATCCATTCCAGAGAAGGAAATTAGTAACTTGACCTAAAGCTGGCTACAGGAGAAAACACAAATGGAGTTTGGGTTTAACCCCTGGTCATAGATTTCTACCAAAAAAACCACCACAACAGAGTCTTTTCATACAAAGCAAATGGGTAATGCTCCGAAAAATTCAATCACACTGAACTACAATTCACTTTTAAAAAAACCCTTTGTTTGTATTTTAAGAGTTTTGTTTGAATCTGTTGAATCTTGTGATTGACTTTTTTTCATTTCTCCTGCAGGTTGATGAAAAGGCTCTCAAACACATAACAGAAATGGGCTTCAGTAAGGAAGCAGCACGACAGGCACTTATGGATAATAGCAACAACCTTGAAGCTTCATTAAATTTCCTCCTCAACAGCAATAAACAAATGACTATTCAAGGGCCAGCCGTTAGAGGTACTACTTCATCCATCTATCATACACAAAAGGGTTTTCATAGGATCAAATTTTTTGGACTACAGATTATACTGTTGAAGGTCTTCTAGGCAAAATGTTCACAACTGTCTCCCAAATTAGCACTGGTGATAGGGTGCACGTCCTGGCTCAATTTCATATAGGTGGAGGAAATACTTAAAAGAAAATAAGGAAGTAAGAGGAGAATTGGAAGGAGGAACTACGGTGGACATGGGGGAAGATAGAAAGTATGAAAGGAGTAAGAAAAATCTGGAAGAGATTGCAGAGAGCACATAATTAAGGCATTAAATTCAAGCCTAAATTGAAATTTAAATGTTTGACATGTGCCAAGTGTTTGGTTCCAGAACCTTTGCTATTTTAAATTTTTGTTTTGCGTAAAATATTATCACTAACAAGTTAGTATTAGAAGTTAATAGATTTAGGACTGTATAAGTGTAGCCGCTGTTCTAATAAAGAACTATTTTCCATTTGGCTGAGATGACATTTCGGATTAAATGGGCTCCATACTGTGTTTTGAGATGTACTTTTATAACCTAGGTCTTACTTGTGTTTCTTAAGGAAATGTAAAATGATGATTTTGAAGTGCTTTACAATATAGACTCAGTTTCTTTCCCATATGTAACTAGGCTATATGGTTTATCTTTAGGAAAAGGAAAGGGGAGAGGCCGAATACGACCTGAAGATGAGGAAGAACTTGGAAATGCTAGGCCATCTGCTCCAAGCACATTGTTTGACTTCCTAGAGTCTAAAATGGGTACTCTCACAGTAGAAGGTATGTAGAGAGGTCAGAGGTTGTCTGGCTTTGTCTTTCATGGAAAAGAACTAACAAATCTACTTATACAAAATTCAGTCATAACTAGGCTAGTGTTCTACCATCATCATCATCATCATCATCATGGTATATGCGGAGTATAGGAACATGTTCTTCTCAGGAGAATCTTAGTTGGCTGTTTTGGGGTTACTGTCACTGAGAAGATGTCATTGAGAAGATATTTTTCTGTGCAACATCACCAGTTGGCGAACTTAATTTAGTTTGTGTTTCTTTTGTTTCATTTTACTTGTTAGTTTTCTGATTGCATAACTTATGTTCCATAAATTATATGGATCCTGATTTTCTGGAACTCTAGGCAAAGGTTTGGGGATTGGAGAAATACAGACTTAAACCACTACCTCTGTATGTGATGAGATATGGAAGAAAAGGTGCCTTCAGACATTTGAAGTCAATAGCCATCCCCACTTCCCCCTCCTGAACCTCCACTCTTCTTTCCAGATTATGTTCAACCACTTTGAGACCAATCTGAACCAGTTCCACATTAACTTGAAATTACCATTGCCATGTATATTGAGTGGCCCTTGGAGTGGTGGGTTCAACAGGACTGGCTTAGAGGCCATCCTGCAGAAAGAACAGTTAAAGCACTTCAGTTCTCTAAATTGGACCATTGCAATGCATTCTACATGGCGCTGCCCTTAAAGAGCATTCAGAAGTTGCATCTAAATTTACTCTGCAAATGATAACATTGAATCTGAAGTTCTAGACAGTCCTAAAAGTAATAGTGTTTGGGGATGACTGTTCTAATATAAGTTAATAGCTGGCAGTTTGTTGGTATGCATGTAATAAATTCAACTTTCTGAAAAATTACCTATTGCTTGAAAGCACAAAATAAATATGCTTCTGAGAATAATTAATTTGGCTTCCCCTAGCCATTTTGGTTAACAAACAATAGCATTCCACTGGGTTACTTCAGGATATATGGTACAGGATGCTGTAAGCATGGTAGGTAATTGTTCTTTGTTTTCGTTCAAGAGGAAACGATTGCAGATTCTGGTTTATTGCTACATGAGAGCATTGCTTTTCAAAAGCAGCATCCCAGTTTAATTGTAGTTTGAATTAAGTGAAGTGTTTGAGAAAAATTAAAGGTTATTAAATAACCTGACTTTGTATTTAAGACAAATATTTAATCACACACAAAAACAAAATCAATAAATATTGATGGATTTATAATTCATGGGAAGGAGAAGAAGGGAAGGAACAAGAGAATGCAGGAATTTTAGTTTACCTCATTTGTTGCTTAGGAAAGTGACTGCACATTCTCCCAAGAATCTGGCTTGACTATTGAAGAGTTCCACATAAACCATTTGGAGAAAATGTTCAAAAGGACATGTTTAAAGAATGATTGATATGTCAAAACCAGTAAGGAAGGCAGCACCTAATAAGTATCAGGAGAGGGGAACCAAAAGTCACTTTTAATTAGAAGGGCAAAATTACAAGTTGGGACTTCTCTATTGCATGTTTTCTGCACCAAGGAGTGTTAGAGAGGAACAGTGCTAAACAGCATTCAAGAGTGTTACAGAAGAACAAACAACAGATCAGAAGTTGGTGAAACCAATGCTGTGGTCAACGTTCATAGGTTGTGAATTACATTCTACCCATTACTATTTTGCTGTAACTGCAGATTCGGCTGAGGGAAATAATTGATGGAACCAATACCTATTCTCTTCTAGTTTTGTAAGGTGTAAACAAAATGTAAAGCAGTACATTTTCTTACTATTTTTGTACTGTGTTGAGCAACATGGCTAGGTTTCCTTTAATCTTCGTTTCTATAGGGCTTTCTATGCTGAAAGGCATGTTATGCTCTTAAGAGACATTCACAGTTGAATATTCAAAAATTCTACAGTGTTATATGGGTAGAAAATGGATATAAATAAAGAACATTTAAATAATGAGTAGAAAATCTGGGTTAGTAAAGGAATAAAAGTCCAGCAGGATTTGAGTGGAATTACTATTTCTTTCAGTATAGTTCAAACCTTAAATAAAAGTAATCTCAGCTATAGCAACATCCCATTAGAAAAAATCCAGTATCACTCTTATAGCCAAGATTACTTCTATTTAAAGTGTGGTTGATAGGTTTGAACTCTACTTAATGTGACCCTCCAGACTCTCCACTTGCAGCTTTTCTCTATCATCTCATGGAAGGCAGACATTTTTCTCTGCAGACATTTGCCTTTTCTATTTTCTTTAATATTAATTTTATAACATTTTAGGCTTAATTATTCTTTATCTCAATGTTATTTATAAAGTAATTGCAAAATAATTATTTATAACAGCTACAATACAACTGTTTATTGTTTTAGTTATTTGTTTTTTTAAGATTGCCATTTGTTTTTGTTTTTTTTATTTTACTGCTAAGGGGCATTGAGTCTTTTTAAAGAAAAGTCAGGATATACATATGCAATAAATAAAAGATCAGTCTCAGGTTTGCAGGATTGAAAATAACCCCCTGAGCTAATTAAGATCTAGTCTTCATAATTGTAGGATAATGTTGCTGATACTTGACAAAGTTGAGGAATTGTTTATGCCTTTTTTCCTTGTTGCTGGGTAGTAATGTTTTTAAGGTGCACAATATATTTTTCTGCCCAGATGTGCAGAGGCTGTCAGAATAATAATATAGCATGAGAAACTCTATCTTTTTGCTAATTTAACCTGGAGAGACACTGGCCACTAGGAACATTGGTCAGCTCTTAGAATCTGTTCTTCCTGGACTTTCAGAAAATACTATTTGTGATTTTGGGGCAGGTCAGAAGTTTAAGCAAATTGTTATATCTGTGCAGTCTCCATGCGTTAAATAATATAATTACTTTAAATAAATTATTCAAGAGCAGTAAAAATATTATTCAATAACCTTTTTAGCAAATTCCTGCCTAGTTGGATCTGGGTAATTGGAGTGTAAGGTTCACTGCATTTGGCACTGGAAATAACCCTCGTGAGACACGGACTCGAACAAAAGCTAGTTTACTCAGGCGTAATGCGTAGCGGTTGCAGACAAAGCCAGGATTGGCTTGGCACAGTTTCTTGCAGTGTTTTATAGGAGTCCCCCCTTGACCCGTAGTGCCCCGGGTTCCGCCCCTGCCCTTGTCCCGGGTCACCCCTCTGCTTGTCCTGTCCTCCCTCCCCTCTCCTTAATGGCAGATTCAGTCAGGTTTCATTGTCCTCATGATCGTCGTCTTTTGTCCGCGTTGTCAGTGTGCTCGTGGGGCTTTTCTCATGTGGATGGAATGGGGTTTCTTAAGTCGGGTTCCAACTGGTCGCTGATTGCCTCCGGATCGCTGTGTTCCTGAAGCATTGAAATCGGCGTTGCCCGGGGCGTCTGGGGAACCGCCTGCGCTACAACGCTGCTGGTTCCAGTTCACTCTCGGCCATGAGTTAATTGCCCCCACCTGCCGGCACTTAGCTTCCGGTCTGCCTCATTTCCCTTCCCCTGCCCGCCTGTGCCTGAGGCGGTGAAATTGACTAGCAGTGGTGAAACTGAACAGTGGCGCTGGCTGTACCAGGCTGAATCTGACATGGAGTACACCTACAAATTATTTCAAAATATTGTGGAACGTTCTAGGGTTCAGAGTGGATCAACGTCTGAAAGTTGCAGCCTTAATTTCTTAAAGCAGTGGTGCAGAAGTATTAATGTAAGCCTTTCCCTTTAAATATGTCCTGTAAAATAGTTCCAGAATTTTTTAAAGCGTTGGAAAACGTGTATAGTCCCAGGAGGTTGTCACAAAATGGCACATTAATGGGCATTGCATCATGGGTTAATGCTTCTGGAAGGTGATAAATAGTTTATTTTTAGAACACTAAGCACAAGATAGGAATTTTCTTATTTTTCTTTCTTTTATTCCTTGCCCAGTGATCCATTAGCCAAACATTCTCAGAAGACAAACAGATACTTTTGCTGGACAGATGTAACCAAACTAAATTTGACATTTTAGAGCAAGATGTGTTGTTTTTCCTTACAGCCAGACAGCCCCTTGGCCATTATGGTAAAAAGTTGAGGAAAATGGCTTGGAAAATGCTTTAGCATTTGCCTTAATTGCAAGACAGGAAAGCTTTTGTCTTCAACTAGGTAGTTTTAAGTTGACAAGCCTCTTCCTTTTAAACTGTCATTCAGTCATTTTATTCATTTCATCTCCTATGAATTTGTGACCTTGAAATAAACATGACAGACTAATCTTTCTTCTTTAAAGGAAGCCACAGAAATTTCCTGGGAGGGATACATTAGTCTGTGATGATTAACACATACAAATTTATTTAATGGATGGTAGCCTTCAAAATAAAAAATTATTGTCAGTAAAATTATCTAATGTGATAAAATATCAGAATTGCACCAACAAAATTACAACATATGCTTCTTTTTCTGTTCATTCTGTTCCCCTATTAATGCCTTCTGTTAACTTCTGCTATTCTCTTCTTTGGATAACAATTAAGATAATTATTACCTTGATAATATTTAGAAAGAAAAATACTGTTGTCCCAAAACAGAACTGTTCCCTAGTCTAAGTGACATGGCATAAATTATTGCCCCTTTCTGGCTGTTTGTTAGCCCACCAAGAAATGCCATTTTGATGGCATTTCCCATTGATTTGGTTCTGGTGTCACTGTCAAGTGCTGATTTGAGAGTTGTTAAGCTATAAGCTGGGGATAATTATTCTTTTTTGTCTAGAGACACTTTTAGAATTTTAAACTTATGTGAATGTGTGCCATAACTTTCCTACTCACAAAATGGTTTGTCAGAAAAACTCATGTATAAGAATGTTCACCTTCCCCACCCTACTGTCCCATTCTCGGTTATTTCAGTAGTAACTTCTGGTGAGTATTATTCTATAGGTAAAGATATACTCTGCAGCCAATCAACTTCCTATTTATTTATTTATTTATTTATTTATTTATTTATTTATTTTAATGAAAAGTATGTTTTAAAAGTCTGGTGGCAATCAAGGTGGGCCTTATGGACCCATCAAAGTTGAAATTGCACACGTGCAGAGTCAGAAACTTCAGGCAAGAATTTAACTCAAATCAACCTTTTTCTTTATTAAAGTCCAGTGTCTTGAGTTTATTACATACAAGGGTACACATACACACACTTGCAACACCTTACGATTAAGCTGGCCAGGCAAAAATAGTATGATGGGAAGATCTGAGGTGCCCAGTTGGCAAAGATACATCTTCAGATCCTCTTTGTTCCACTTCTCTTTTGTATAGTAAAAGCTGTTTTTCTTCTCTAAATGAGAAAGTAATCCTTTTGTTTTTCCAAATGTCTGAAGGTGAGGAGATGTCTGGCTCCTTCTACCTTTAAGTGTTGGGATGAAAGTGATAAGACAGTAGCTGGTTGGAATTTGGTCCAGATGAAGTGATAATCTAACATCACCTACTTTGTGTACCCATATCTAATTTCTAGCTGGAATTTAGCTTGCTTGGGTAGCTGCTTTTTAACTACGGCATAGCTATAGTAAGCTATGCCTACTCATTGACTGCTGTTTACCTTTTCTTGTTTTTCTCCTGACTATTTGTCTGCTAGCTGAGTTGAACAGACCATTTTTATCACAAAGCAGAAAGCCTTCAAATTTTCACAATTGCCCTAAATAATGGATAGTAGCAATTGCTGCTGACCGCTAACCATAGGTTTCTCATTTTGCACATCACAGCAGATTATGATGTAAGCAAACCAGGGTAGAAGTTAATACAGTGGGGTTGGGTGGTTTGGCCTTGGTTGCCTAGTAGTTAGACTCTGTTCTGTTCTGGAAGGGCCATGGGTGCATACTACCTCCCTCTTAGAGTTTGACCTTCCTATATGAAGAGGAGATATCTGAAGAAGACTGCTGTTTTGCCTTTTATTTATTAATTTAGAAAATTTATATGCCACCCACACTCTTAATGGCTCTGGACAAATTAGAAAGGTACAATAAAATATCAGTCAAAGTATGCCAGATATTAACCATGAAACTAAATAGTGGCTTTATGAAGTTGTTATAAATATTGTATGTATGTTTTGAGACCCCTATTAAACTGCAATGAGGTAGGGAGTTACTTTAGCTCCAGTGCTGTCTGTTCCACAGTGTGGTCCTTCCATGAAGAAAACCAAATTGATAACTGAGATCAAACATTTTCATTTTCATTTTTATATATTTATATTTCAAATTTGGACACTGCCCATCTCACAAGGAAGTAGGGTTGTTTGGTAGGATCTGCAAGAGGTGACTCATTGATGACCTAATTGGTATAGGACTAAGTGGTCCTGAAGTAACTTGGGTCTCACTTGTATAAAGGTTAATATCCCTTGTGGGCACCTTGAACTTAGTAAAACACTTTCAATATGAGATAAACAAGGAGGCTCCATTCAACACCTTTGCTGCCATGTTCTGGATTACAGGTAGTCCCCAGGTTAAGAATGCCCAGTTTACAGAAAACCCATAGTTAAGAACGGAGCCTACTGTAGCAAAATTTGAGTTAAATATCCAATGATTTGATGTTAAATGTACAATGGTTCAAATTAATTACACAATACTACTTATACAGTATTATACGTTAATACTGTTCTGGCTTACATAGAAATTTGTCTTAAAGACAAATTTGGAATGGAATTTGTTCTTAAACTGGGGAATACCTATATTCCAATATCCAGACCATCGTCCAGAACAGCTTGATCTCCTAAATCCTGAAGTTCAGCCCCAGGAATCAGCACAGCTCTGTCTTTATGAACTGTATTTTGACTTACTATCCCATATCTAATCTGGTGATTATTCAACCCCTAGTCTACAGGAAAGAATTAGGGATATTGGTGATAACTAGTTATGAGAATGATACTTCTCAGATATTAAATATTTATCCAAGAGAAGTTCATCTGGCTGTGCTATAAACCTTTGGACACCTTTTTATTCCCCAACCACTTCAGGAATTTTGTTCAGAGCTATTTTATTGTGCTCTGTTTTCTTTTGCTGCTGGCTTTACTTTTTGTTTATGTATTTATCCCTTGCCGCTGCTATTTTGATCTTGACAGATTCTGATCTGGTGGATTTCACTTGGAAAGAAATCTCTGACAGATTGGACAGATATAATAAGAACTGTTTCACTACACCTTTTTTGCTTACCCTTAACTTCCTGGGAGGCACATGATAGTTAGAGCCAATTTTTCCAGCCTCTTGCATAGTTTGCCTATACAATAAACTCTTTCGCTGTGTGAAACACTGAAAGCATGACATGTCTGCTGTTGTTCTCCAACCCTGCTAAGATGAGTAGAAAAAATTGATAGAAAACCTGAAAAAATCTACAAAAGATAGAGGAAAAAAGAAAAGAGGAAATTGAGATGGAGTTACAGGTCATAGGTAGAGAAGAACTGAGGAGGTGGAAAGAGATTTGGACAGCTTCAGAAGGCAGAGTTATAAAATTAAGTGAGAAGAAAAAATAATACACTTGGATGCAAAAAGGTCTATAGCTGAGTTAAGGAAGAAAGTGTTTAATGCAGATCTGTGGTGCAGTAGGGGAAAGTCTCCCACAGAACAGGAAGGAAAAGAAATTCATTTAAAAGCAACTGTTATGATGGAGAGGGTGGGCCATGGTACGCCAAGAAACAGAAACAGAAAGAATTAACATCAATGGTTCTGCCATTAAATGAAGCAGCAATGCCCTCCAGGTGAATCATAAACACCGTAAAGGAAAGTTACCTTCCCAAAGGAACTGTAGACGGAAACACTTGTGTGCTCATGTTCACACATGCATAGCTAGATAGCTAGACAGACAGACAGACAGACAGACAGACAGACAGGCACAAAAAGATAAAAATCCTCTGCAGTGCTTTGCTTCTGCTGGTTGATGTCAGCCCTTTGAGAAACAGGTCAAGAAACAGACACCATAGGGATTCAAGGAACCTCTGTCCCCTTTTACAGTAAACAAAATCAATGTGGGGTTATTTTGAGTTTTCTTCTCATGCTTCCTTTTATCTCAGGACTATGTAATCACTTCTCCAGATTCCTCCTTGACAGCTGATTTCTTCCTTCCTTCCTTAATACCTATTTCATATTTCCCAAGGTCAAATTCCGTTACCCTTGCCAATTTAGTCTTGCTGATAGAGGTCTATGTATTTATGCATATCTGTATATTTGTATATTTACCTAACAGAAGCCACAGTGCGCAAAAGAATAGGATCTGGTGAAAAAAGTAAATGTAATCTTAATTATAAATTTAAAATGAATGGCATATAAAATAAAGGAACCTATTTATAAAATTAATTGATCCCCAGTCCAACCCTTCTCTTTCACACACACAAACACATGATCATACACATGTTCCCCTCCCTCTTTTTAGGAGAAGCAGCCAAAAAAAAAAAGAAAAAGAAAAATAGGAAGGAGATGGGTCAAGGAGAAGGGAGATAGGTAAAGGGAAAAGTATCTGAGCAGAGAAAAAAAGACAGAAGGGAAATATGAAAGAAAAGCTGAAACACAAAAGCAGGCAAGTGCTCCTTCCTAGCTACTGCTAGTCTCAGCAAATATTTATATTTCTGGCCATTTTTTGTTTTCAACAGTATCTTCTATTCTAGTCAGTGAATTACCCCAGTTCAGAGGTAGTTGTTTGTCTTCCTTGCCTTCCTATTGGATAATTAGAGTATTTTGAAAGCTTACACTATGTTTAAGACATAAATTTCAAAAACTAGTTGTGTCACTAACCGAGGACTTTTTCTTTTGTAGAACCAAAGGTACAGATGGCATTGCAGCATCATGGACCCCAGAGAGTACCAAACACTGAGCAAAATGGTGTAAAAGTATATAACCATCAAAGACACACTTCTCGAAATGAACCTAGGCAGCCAAGGAATGAGAAGCCACCTCGCTTTCAAAGAGATAGTCAAAATTCGAGGCATGTTACGGATGGAAGTGGATTATTGAGAGCAAGGCCTTCTGAAAGGCAGAATTCTCTGGGCCCTGATCAGTGGACTGAAGAGAAAAATAAGTGTGATAGACTTTATCCTCGGAAAGATTTTGCATACCCTATAGCTAGTCATTCTGGTGACCTTCATTTCAAGAGGAGGGAGACCCCTGTGCAAAATAGGCCAGGAAAAATTGGGTCACTAATTGAAATGAAAGAGAACTCTGCTGGCCAAGATTCAGCTGATAACAATAACCAGAAACAAGGAAGTAGGGAAAGTCAGATACATCACCCCAACAATTTCTGTGATAGGAAAACATTAATCCTAGCGAATGAATCTTTTACTGCCTTAAAAAACGAGCAGCAATTTGGTGTGACTGTAGATTACTCAAATCCAGTTAGAACTGAACATTTTTGTTCTGTACCAAATGGCGATTTGGAACATTTCCCAAAAGGAAGGAGAGTTGGACCTATTAAACTGCCTCCCCCCAATATGGCCATTTCCTTTGATGTCAAAATGTACTATGATCCTGGTCCCAAAAAGCGATCTGGGCCCATCAAGCCAGAAAAAATGTTGGAGCCACCTGTTTCAGGAGAGTATGGGAAAAGCTGGCAACCAGGGGACGAATGTTTTGCTCTTTATTGGGAAGACAACAAGGTATGCTTTGTTCCAAGCCAAAAATAACACGGTTGTTTGAAGTGGCTGTCATTTTTTGTAAGGTTATAAAGTATGATCGTTGGGCTAGGGAAAAAGGGCATTAGCTTTGTAAATAGCCTCCTGAGTTGGTAAAACTTGTCATATCCTATTCTGGTTTAAAAAAAGAATTCAGTTCTTTGAAGCTAGGATGTGTAGAAGCTTTCTTCTGAATCATATGTTTCATATTTGTAGCTGCAGACTATCTTAAAAGCTATTGAGTTCTGGGGATGATAAATTGATCAGTGATAGACTCTTAAGACGTGAGCCTCTGAAAAGTGATCTGCTTCTCAAGGCTTTATAGTCCTAAGTGATCTTAAGAGATTGATACAAAGTCTTAAGCAAGATAGTTATTTTAGCCAGTTTTTCTTTTAAACGATTCAGTGATTAATCTACCTGATGACAATACTTCTTAAGGAGGTGATTCAGTACTAACACAGATCAAAAGTTGGGATTCTTCTGAGAAACTTCAAAACTTAACATAAATGACAACTGCAATAACAAAGGCCCTTATGAATATTTTTATTTTGGTTCTGTCATGCTGACCCAAGTTTTTTGATGGAGGGTAGGGACGGCTTAAAGAACAAGGCAAAAAAAAAAATCACTATAGTTAGATACATTAGAAATTATTTCCATTTTCAGTGTTCAGTTTAATGAACAAAGCCAATACATTGTTATAATGAGTTTTGTTTCCAGAAAGAAAATTATCCCGTTATCTCATGCTTCACTATTGAAATTGGCTAGAACCCTTCATTAAGCCAAATAATTTGGTTGCCATGTAGACTATAGTAGATACATTTTATTTGCACCTGGCACTCGTGCCATTCCTGAAACCATCTTGCACTCTTCAAAGAGGTCATTTCAGTAGGATATTGCAGAGGGAGGGCCTCACAATTTCTCTGTCCACTTTTCTGCATGTTTAGTAATACATATTGTTGTTCTTCTCAGAACATTGAATACCTCAGGGCTTTTACCTCTTCCCAATATCATTACAGGTTTTGTTTTTTTTTGAATGACAAGTTGTGCATAGATTGTTATTTTGCGGTTGAAATATGCAGGCTGACATGGTAAAATATCTTTTTTTTTTCTTTTTCCCAGTTTTATCGAGCAGAAATTGAAGCTCTTCATTCCTCTGGGACGACTGCTGTTGTTAAGTTTTGTGATTATGGAAACTATGAAGAGGTGTTATTATGCAACATCAGGCCTGTTCAAGCTGACACCTGGGTACGTGATAATAAATTGTATACAAAGAGATAAAGTACATATTTCTTATGAACATGGAAGCCATAAACAGATGACTGGTATTGTACTGAGGGTTTTCCAATAAAAACCTGAAGAAAAGAATTCTAGAACTGGTTAAGGTGTTTTTTTATTGCATCTCCATCTATAACTATGCCTTAAGAAGCATGTAGCCTTAACTTCACATAATAACATTTGTAAATTGAGCAATATTCTCTTTGCTTTTCAAGCAAATAATTATTTACATGGAGAATAATATGGTTTTTAAATGCATTCTGCTAGACTATGGATTCTAATTGATGGTTTCCCTGTGGTTTGTTCTAGTTTAGAAATCAGATGAATTCACAAAATTTAAACTCGAGGGTTTTTTCCCTCCATTAAATAATCCTATTCATTGTATGTATACCTAAACTTATCATTGTTTCTATAATTGTATTAATTGTGTTCTTTTGACAAACATATTAAATATATTTGAGCTATAGGGTAGCCATAAGGATTTAAAAGGCGTTGTAAAATGTCAAACATCTTACACATTGAATGTATGGAAAAGTGCCAAATGATGTAATTATAAATAGGGGTTATTTTTCTGAAGTGTGCTTAAAAAGAAAAAAGAAGCTCCTCCTCCTCCCCCCCCACAAAAATGGGCAGGGACAGTGTTTTCACTACAAAAAAAAAAACTTTTGCATTTGCTCAGATTTTTTTTCCCTCCCACTTAGCTCTAGTGGGGTTATTGTATGGAAAAAAAAGAAATTATTCTTCTCCAAACGTATTTGCTTGAGTGCAGCAATTTTTGTTTAGCTCACCTTTTGAGGTTCTGTCTACGTAACCAGCCTCATTATTCATTCTCATATTAATGGTACATAGAAGACAGAACATTAAAATCAGCTTCTGTGTTTTTTAAGCTTGGAAATGCTGCTTTGCATCCTGCATTTTTGACTATTTTAAAACGTTCACTAATGTGTTTATAAATGTTATTACTTCAGAGATCCAAGTTTTACTCTTATATAGCATTAAACATACTTTGGTATTTACTCTTTCATACAAGATTCTGCATCTCTTAGTGCAAGTTCTTCTAATGATAAGAGAAATACTGTAATTTGAGAGTGGGGAAGGGCAGGGATAGATACTAGATGTCTAGTAGATATTAGATGTCTTGAAGGAAGGAAGAAAGTCAGGTGTATAGTTGATAGTTAAAGGTATCAGTTCATCTACAGTGACTTCAGAGTTACCTGTTGAATATTTATAATAATAATCATGGCCATTGCTTCAGTGCGTGACCTCAAATTATATATAATACAAGTAAAATACATGCATTCAGACTTAAAATAAACAGACTATGTCCAGACTGGACTAAGGCGGAAGGTTCTCACTGGATTTCATGGGTTTGGGTAGATCAAGAGTAGGAATGATGTTTTAATTCCTGGACATCTCCAGAATACTCCCCATACTGTGGTCTGTAAGGACTGTCCAATTAAATATTTTCTTTTCTTGCAGTACTTCATTTTGGAAGGGCACTGTTCTCATTTCCTTTGCTACTCTCAAATTCAATCATTTTTGTCTGTTAGTAAACCAACCAAAAAAAGTACAGTTTCTGGAACTATAACTTAACAATCTTCTCCATTACTGCTTGTGTCATGATGGATGAATAGCATTCATTTAATAATAGCAAAGCACATGGTACAGGAGATAGGAATGAATTAAAGAAGCAAATACATTTTAGTTTTATTAAACATAAATGAATGATTACATGAATTCTGTATTTCTTTTCATAAAGCAATAAATATGGAGTGTTGAATTAGCTTTTACTATGTAGATATATCGAGTTTTCATTAGAAAATGTGGACAACAAAGTACTTGCATTTCCCTTTGTTGAAGGATTGTTTAACCTTTACACTTGACTAGAGAATGTACCCATATATATGTAATCCACTGTTGTGCTAAATGTGGCAGTGATCACAGAATAAAGGCATATGTTTGCAACATATCAGCCCAGACTTAAATGCCATCACCATAATAAACTCTTTTCTCTTTTTAAAAGCATGCATTGTTCAGACAAAGTTAAGTCTGTGCTGTAGAAATATAAAATAAACACAAACAACTTAAACCTAAAGTGTTATATGTTATTTTCTCAGATTTAGAAATGTTACAAATGAGTACATGTTTAACAGGGCCTCGTTTTATTCTCAGTATAAGTTTTTCTTCTTACTTTCAGATATCTTTGTGCCTTGCAGTAGTTTGTCTTTATTTACAAAGGTAGAACTTTAGCATCTGGTTATAGTAAACTATTTGTAGCTTCATCTGTTCCTGAATGATACAGAGATGATGTTGAGAGAAGGTGTTTTAAAAGCAGATGCCATTTTCAAATATATATATTGGCCAGTAATTTAGGTTCCTTTCATAGAACACTTGTCAAATTAACATTCTTGATAAGAGTCTCCTGTGTATTATAGAAGATTTGCTTAATGTATTCTAGAAGCATTTTCTAACTTCAGGCTCATGGCATCGTATCACTGCCCTCCATACATTGAATATATCCTTGAAGATACACTTCTAATGCTTCAGTTGATTACAGTTTGATCTACATGTTAAGTTTTTAGTTATTTCAGAAAACTCAGTGCCAAGTATTTCTCCAGTGCCATTTCCAAAACACTAACTTTACAAGTAGTGTAAAATTTCCAGTAGAGCAAGAGGGTGAATTGGTTTCATTCACATCAGGAAGGTCATACACTGTGATCTTACACAGATGTGAATCTGTCTAAGGGTTCAATATTATTCCAGAATAACTAGACCATCTGTATGATATTACAGTGATAGGATGAATTTTGCTTCCCAGGAGGTTGTTTGTGATATGATTCTAGCTTCAGTGGAAGAAGGAATAATAGAAAACAATTTATATGCAATTGCTGTATGGTGATGACCAACTTTTACACTGGAATATTTATCTGGATTCTTTATTTCTGACTGGGTTAACAACCTTATGGCCAAATAAATAGTAAGAGTTGTAGAATCCCAAACTGCTGATCCTAGGCACACTTCTTGACATTTCTATGCAATTATAATGCAGCATTTTGAAGATAACAGATCAAGATATTGCTTGTAGCTTAAAATTAATAAACAGAACGTTTTTATTTGATTTAAATTTACTTAAATTAATCTCGTCTATCTTTCCCTTGTGATTTTTGATTCACTTCCACTAGCTGTGACAGCTGTCAGATTTCATTACAAGGAAAGATTGGACCTTGGGTGAGAACTAAAATTAAAATAACTTAAAAAAGAAAAGATCTTGGTTGACACGTATGCTAAATGTCAGAAGGATATATAGAATAATTTTAAAAGTAAATGTGGTCTATTCACAGACTAAATTTGAAATACATGTGTGCTTAAAGGCTCTTTGGTGCTGATCATCTGATCTGCCAGCCACACACATTTGACTGTAGTCGTAAACATAAAAATCATAAGCTGCTCTATATCCTTTTGCTCCAACTTGATGCCAGCTGATAACAGTTACCCCTTCCAAAAACTGGATTTCACTTAGACATTTTCAGTGTGCTTCAGAGCAGACATTCCATCTTCTGGTTTCAGAAAATTCTGCTTTCACTTAACACATATGATTTGATATGTTCGTTTTCTCATAAATATATACTAAAATGCATTGCTGTCCTGAAATAATTAATTTTGTTTCTTGTGGAAGTAATTTGTTGAAGGGCAGAGATCTTCCTGGACTGGTCAAATTTAGAAAGATTTGGAGTTGTCCACTTAAAGCATGGCTCCTCCAAAACAGGTAGAACTGAATGCTTCCAAAAGTTCATTAGTAATTTGGAAATTTAGAGGGACTGAGAGGCACAATATGACACAAAAATTCTTTTTTTCCTTGTCTGAAAGTAGGCCAATTTCACACTGCAGTGATGAATGGTATATTAATATAACTTGCCTATTTTTTCTTTAAAGGGGGAATGTAATTATCCTCCTGAAATTATAAGACCCCATTTCTACAAAAACAAAAACAAAACAACCCTCTGTGTCTTCCTACTAATGATTGTCCCTGGACTGAGTGTCATTTATACCAATTGCCTGCCAAAAATACAGGAAGTGAGTGTGTCCTTTCTGGAATATTCCCCACCCCTGGATGTACCAGGAGGACTATTCTTGTAAAAAATATTCGGAATTTATTCTTCAAAACTTTTTACACTTAATCTTAACTCTTAAAGGAGATTAACAATGCCTGTAATGCAATTTTTCCCAGTTCTGTCAGGCATTATCAGTTCCATTTTTTAGTCAACCAGCACAAAAACACATGTACCAATTTGTCTGAAATTTGGCCGGCTTTGTCACTCCATAAAAGGCCACTAGTCCCGGAAATTCATCTTGATGATGGCAGATGTCCATTTTGATTGCTTTTTCATGAAAACAGTACTTGGATCAGGTAATAAACTCAACATTGCCATGCTCATTTGATTTACATTATGTACTCTGATCTAGGACCACTCTGTATTTTGGAAGATTCTGCACTCGCGTTATGCAGTGTATCATGCCACTTACCCTTGAAGCATTTTATTGTGTGAAAGTGTGAACAGATGGAAGCATCTGTTCCATCCTAAAATTCTTTAGTATAATTAATTCTCAATATAATGAGAAATCATGTATCGGTGCCTTTTTTTGATAGAGACAGAATCCTTAACAGGGTTGAGTCAATCTAAAAAATATAGAGAATGAAAGCAATGCATTTTTATGTTTGAGATCACCCATACAGATGCACTTGCTGAGAAGAGGTGATTTGCTATGATTCCTGCTGTATGTTCTGGAATGGTTTTTAAATGCAAATGAAGATCTGCAAATAAATTACCTTAATGAGGAAGGAGTACAAACAAAGCAATATAGTTTCTGATGCTGTTTTATGCATTTTGTAATCAAGCTTTTTAGCACCTTTATAAGAAGGAGGAGAAAAAGGAACCACAGATTTTATTCCAAACAGTGGTCGAGAGGAA